AATGAATAATGCAGTTTTATAATAATTTCTCAAACATGATTAGTGAATCTGTTGAGGCATAGAACTTTTGGAAAATTATTCTTTGGAATATAGACTGAGAAACCCTGCACTAGACATAATTTAGCTCATCAATTCAATAAAAATACTTCAATCTTTTACTATTATGCTTTAGGGTATGGGGCTACTGAAATAAAAGCTACAGCCTCTGCCCTCAAGATGCTTTTGATTTAGGTGGGAGACATCGCATAACTCCAAAGTACCATGATAAATGCTGTGATAGAAGGAAAGATACTTGGAATCAGTGAATGTCTGAAGAGAGTTTTGACACTGAGTTCATGTAGTAACTTTAGGCAGAGGTAATGCATTTCAGGAACAGCACATGTGGAAGCATAATGAGGAGGAAGAGGCTGCTGTGTATTTATTCTCTATACAGTGGACCTTCAAGTTATGACTGGCCTGACATATGAACAACTTGGGTTAATTAGGTTAATGGAAGATTCATCTGCCTCTTGTTATCTATAGCGTGTACGCAGGTAAATGTCCAGACCTCAGCTGTATTGAATTAGTTACAACCTGCCCTTGGAACTGATGAGTTCGTAAGTCAAGGGTCTACTGTATTAGGTCAGAGCGATGGGCTCTTTTACAAGGTTTTCAGTTCAGTTGAGAAGTAGGCACTTGTGTGGATTATAAATTGTTTCTGCTCGTTCACAGGATGACCTCGCACCACATTTGCTTGCTCTAAGGGAAAACAGACAGCAAGTAGCAGAATTGTGTATAAAGAAAGAAGCAAATATTCACATGGTGGATAAGCCGGGAAGGTATAGTTGTTTGTTCTTTTTTAAAAACAAGACTTTAGTGGTGTTCTAGAGAAGTAATAAGTCAAATAATCCACAGCCAAATAAATCAATAGGAAGAAGGCTAATTTACAATTACTGGGATATAATGAAAAATATCAACACAAACCATCAGAAAGCAATTATTTGGATTGGGCAACCCAAAGAACACTGTATAGGAGGATTCATGCTCTGTTTTACAGGAATATTGACTGATGTTTGCTGTTTTTTATGAAAAAATAAAGTTTCATAACAAAATAATAAGAGAATAACAATAGTTAATACCCTGAGTATTGTTATCTTCAAAGTACTTCTTCAGAGTACAAGACATAAACCAAAATGATTCTTACAAAAAAGAAACATATAACACAAAGCTTTCTTTTCAGTGATCTAAGCTAAACTAGTAATATAAATGAAACAGATCAGTATATATATTAAAATATTTTGAAACAATGAAATAGGTAATTTGGGGAAGTATTTGAACTTCTCCCTACTATTTTGTACATTTATATATATATTGTTTATCATATAAGAGAATATTTGAGCCTGTGTGTCAGACTTATTTCACCTATCATTATATTCTCAAACTACATCCATTTATCTATGAATGCCTCAAGTTTATCTTTCTTTATGGCAGTGTAGTACTTCATTGTACATAAATGCCATTTTCCTTTTGCATTTATCTGTTGATGGACATGAACACTGTTTCAAAGATGTAGCTATTATAAATT